AAATATCTCCAGAGATGGAGATTCCACAACCTCCCTAGGCAATTTATTCCAGTGTTTAACCACCCTGAGTATCACTAGTTTATAGTATCTTTGATAAAAAGACAATGAACAAAACCAACTGATTCTTTCAATGAGCAACTTTCAGTGAATTACACTACCAAACAATGCATTTTAATGGCATCTGGTGTTCTGAAATAGGACTTGCTTATGTTTTCTAATAGATGCCCTTATGTGCCTAACAAAACGATTCATTGACACCTCAAAAACTGACTCTCTCAACCTACTTGCTTAATAATGCACTTGAAAAAGAACAATATAGTGAGTTATGAATCGAACAAGTCCCTCTGAAAGCTGCATGTCAGCAACCTAGATTAAAGATGATTCAACCCAAACCAACTCCTGCACCTACGCATGCTCAATGTAGATTGAGAACAGAGAATTACAACGTCTGGGAAGTCTCATTTTGATTTAAGATCAATAAAATGAAGTTTCCAAGGAGTCTGGGGAGGTTACTAAAAATGTTCACTGTCTGAGGCTGCAGAAGTAGTAAGACTCCAGAACAGCTCCTAGGAACTGAAGAGTCTGTTATTATCATACATAGACACTATAGAAAGAAGAAATTAATTGTTACCAAATACATTTTCTTTTTGCTGAACTCTTAATTATGACTTTGGTATAAACATTACCAGAATTTTTGAACTTACCAAGCGGCTGCAGAGGCCCACCATCCGACATGCAAAATTTCCGCTACTGTAGGCTACAAAATGAAGTATAAAGATTGCACCATTAGTACAAGTATCTGCACATAGGTAAGGGGAATGCTGATAACTTGGCAAGCGGATACTAACTACGTATGCAGAACGAAGACCAGCTCCTTGCTTTGGTTCTTCTTCAGGATCACACACAGACTGATAGTCGTAAGACTTGTTAAAGGCATATAAGGACATGTTAATGAGGTTTCGCATCAGGTCAGGGTCAATCTCACCAAAGAATCGTCCAATCTGGAGCAGAAAATTGTAAAAAAGATTAGTTTAAACACTTCTAAGCTGATGTCACGTGATAAATGATATACATATAATTTACATATTCTGATCAATGATGCTGAATTCAAAGAAGGTATAAATCCTATAATTCTTACTATAGGATAATGGTGATAAATTACAAACGTCTTTCATTTTATGTTCATTTTGCATTTACTTTACATTCTCTAAAATAATAAATTGTTTTCCAGACCTACTCAGGCAAAACTCTAAATGACTTCAGGGGAAGTTTGGCCTGATTTATAGCTGCATGATTTGGTTCATTGTTATTATTATAAAACCCATAAGGGACTCATTTTTCACACGGGCATCAACCTGACTATTTCCATATCTACTCTGAGTGTTTAGTTTTTTTCCTTATGAATAAATGACTGCACACGCAATATTTTAGGTGCAAACTCCAAGGCCATTTTTGAATGTTCGACTCTTGATGTGATTAGATGGTAGTTTGCGTTTCCCCCTAATGTTTGTACTCATTACATCAACGGTTATCAAAATCTGTTCACATGCTATCTCAGTATCTCCTATATGGTGCTTACCTCATTTTTTCTAGGTGGAAAAAGGTGGAAACAACCAAAAGATGCTTCTGTAGCATATTGACAACTTTACCATATAATTCCTGAATTAGGAATTCAGGAAAAGTAGGCTGCTGCACCCCACCACATGGGGAGCCACCATCTTCTCCAGAGATCAAAATTTCCCATGCTCTGGCTTTCCAGCTGAACTGGGATCTTACCTTCCATTACATAACTGACTATAGTTGTGTCACATCAAACAACAGCTATTGCTCTGCAACGTTGCACTGTGATGTCATAACACCAAGACACGATGATGGTGATGATAATATGTTGCAGTCTCATGAAATGGATTCTTTATCCAATAATTCTTCAGTGTAACAATTAGATTTGATAGAAAATGTTTCATAGGAACTTTTTTTTTTAATGAAAAATGGCTTTTTGATTAAATGGACATTTTCCACAACTGAAAACCAAAATATTTTTGGTTTTTTTTGACAGAAGCTCTAAAAGGTACTGAAAAAAAATTGAATTTTTTCATAGAAAAAATATAACATCTTCATGTTCTCATACATTAACACAGAATAATTCTGTGCTCCAGGCACTTACACTACGTTATCTCTATGTTTCAAGCAGTCTGACTCAGGGAAACGAAGCAAACTCTTCATCCCATTTCTTATTCACTCCCTTAAATCACTATAACCAGGGCCACCTTAGCGCAGGCCTAGACATGTCAAGTCACTAGTAAGACAGTGATAAAAGCTAGCAAATTATATGAAATTTGAGATTTGGCAAATTTTCTTTGTGGTTTGGAATGAGTCTGTGATTCATCACCTCAAACTCTGATAACCATGATTTTAATAAATGATAGGAGGTCAATGAAGAGCCATACTCTATCTTTGTATAGTGAACTTAGGTTAACAGGTCATTTTTAATTATAAACTCTCTCTGTCTTAATGGAGAAGTGAGTCAATCTCATGTTTAAATGCATGAATTTAAAAACACATATACCTGTTGGGTATATTCATCCTGATTTGACATCAAAAGAAATCCACCGTCATCAAGAACAACACAATCCAGGTGCTATTACAAGGGGGAAAAAAAGGGTATCTTTTTCAGGAAAGTTACAGAAAATGGTTCTCTTTCCAAGCAGCCAGACACAATCCCTGAGAAAAGGCTGACATTCAGCATTTCAGATATATCTTAAAATCAATGTGGCCTGGACTGGAGTGTCCCTTTTCAAAAGAAATCAGCTTGGCTACAAGAATCTGCACGTTTAACCTAGTTTCCAACTCTCAAGATCTAGAGGTTTCATGTAAAACATTAGTATCTGGAGAACTTCACACTCATTGTTCCCTTGCTCTAGTAACTATTGTTTCACCCATTAACACCTGGGAAAGGTGTTTTCTGACTTTACCTCTGGTATTCAGAAAGTATAAGTAGGGGAGACTATGTTCAGGACTCTAGGGCATGAGGCCAATAGCCCTGAATCCATAAGTGTTGTAAAATTTTGCTCAAGGGACCCACTTGTGGCTTAATTTTATGTAACTTGTTTTTGTAAATTATTTGTTCAGGATACTTAACTAGCCCTAAGAGTGCAATGTCCTTACAAAACCCCTTCATACATGGATCACAGCTCGGATAAAGGGATTGCAACTTTTGATTTGGTCTTAGCTCAGACTTAGATACCATTCTGATTTGTAGCTTTTAGCGGTAGGAGTCTTTTAAAACAGCAAATCTGGGCTTTCTGCCTATAATTATTTTCACATTATTTACTTTATTTCGCTCTGGTTTTTTCACCCCCTTCAGATGATGAACCCCTTCTTCTCCAACTAGGGCACCAGTTCCACATAGAGCTAAGAGCCATTTTCTCTGCTGCTGTCCCAGTGGCATGGGTGGATTCCTGCAGGTGCCAGGTGCTGGGGTCAGAAAGTCCATTGATTAACTATAGAGCAGCGTTTCTCAAACTGGGGTCTGCACTCAGACACCTGGGGGTCCCCAAGGGTACTCCGGGGGTCCGCGGGCCCTGCTGATCAACTCCTTCCCCTCTCTCCCTCAACTTCTCCCCCTCCCTCCCAGTGCCTCTACATGCTGGGAAATGGCTGTTCAGGGGTGTGCAGGAGGCGCTGGGACGGAGGGGGAGGAGCCAGAAAGAGGTGGGGAAGAGGAGGGGCAAGGGTGGAGTGGGGACGGGCAGAGGTGGGCTGGGGGTAGGGCCTTGGGTGAAGGGGTGGAGTGGGGGCGAGGCCTGGGGCTGAGCGGGGGTTTGAGGTTTTAAATTTTTTAAATTCAATTGGGGATCCTCGGGTTGCTAAAGTTTCAGAACCGCTGCTATAGAGCATACACTGATCTTCCTGTGGCCTGAGGATGTGGTGCTGCTGCCTGGGCCTGACAATTAGCCATAAATCCCACACCCAACAGTCATTCTCCCAACCCCACAAAAGAACTCACAGATGCCTCAATTGAGGAAGGCGCTTAAGCACACAAGAGAATTAGGAGTTCCTGGCAACATTAGAGCTCCTGAAGCTGTAAAATCATCACCCATTAGTGCTTCTAGGGCCACATGCCCCAAAATCCTGGCTCAGCAGGGGATGGAGGGAAGGCAGGCAGTGGAAAGCCTAGTATCCCCACACGCTGGAGGGTGCTGTGTGCATTATGGTAGATTTAAGGTTATCGTCTGTCTCTCTCCCTCAAATTATCTGATAATACAGAATCCAAACTAAATATTAATATAACATGAAAGTGTAACACCAACAGATCCCGGTCGCTGGTATCGAACCTGGGACCTCTGAAGCTTAGCGCATGAGCCTCTACTGCAGCTGTGGGCAACCTGTGGCCCGCGGGGCTTCCAACAGCTCCCATTGGCTGGGACTGGCGAACCACGGCCACTGGGAGCTGCAGGCGGCCGTGCCTGTGGACAGTCAATGTAAACAAACTGTCTCGCGGCCTGACAGTGGATTAACCATGACGGGCTGCTTGCGGCCCGCAGGCTGCAGGTTGCCCACCACTGCTCTACTGCATAAGCTAAAAGCCACGTGGCTCTTAGCTAAGGCTGTAGCAGACTCATTAATCTCTAAGTGGTCTCGGTGCCATTAGAGGGGACAGAATACCACACCCAGGATGTGTGTTGGTTACACATGCTCAACATCGGTTTCCCTGCCTTCCCTCCCACTAAAATGTACAGGATGTCTGTGAAAGAGATACAATAAGACAGAGGAGAAATCAATTATGATCTAATATTCACTAGGTGAAACATTGTGCATCTGTTCTTGCTTTCCACCTTTTCACATTCCTTCACCTCTTCTTTTTGTCTCTCTTCTCAGTTTCTCTCATTTTCCCACTCTCTTTCTTTAAAAAGCTTCACCATCTTTTCTCTCATCTTCTTTTTCACGATTCCCCCATTTCCTACTGCTCCCTCCCATATTATGTTCTTTCTTCTTCGCTCCCATTTAGTTCTTATAGTCTCATTTCAAGGACTCCCTTGCCTATCACCTCATTTTATTTTCTCACAATAGCATCCCTCTCAGAATCCTCACCTCTGTCTTCCTAGACACAGAAGACTGTTAACTAACTCTAATAATAATTAATGGAGATATCCTATCTCCTAGAACTGGAAGGGACCTTGAAAGGTCATCAAGTCCAGCCCCCTACCTTCACTAGCAGGACCAAGTACTGATTTTGCCCCAGATCCCTAAGTGGGCCCCCTCAAGGATTGAACTCACAACCCTGGGTTTAGCAGGCCAATGCTCAAACCACTGAGCTATCGCTCCCCTGCTAACACTGCTTCTGTTTTTAACCTGCAGACAGTAATTGGGTATAACAGTGGTCTCAAGTTTTGATGGACCCAAAGAACAAACCAAGGGGACCCTTCCCTCTCTGCCAGGTATTTATTACTAAGTTTATTCTTACCATACTGTTTCTTTCACAGCCACAAAGTTCACTGTTGCACTGGAAAACAGAAGAATACGGAATGTTTTCTTAGAAAGTCTGTACTATTACATAATATTCATTAACTCATGAGTATAAACAGTTGGATTCAAGACAAACCCAGGTATTTTTTTGTGTGTGTCTGGCTGTCTACTGAAGGGTTTTATATTGCTACCCATTACCATCGTATCTGAGTGCATTGCACTTGCCACTAGGGGGTCAAAACTCTGCTCAGGGTCGATTTATTTATTTATTTATAGATTTTATTAATTCCCTCCTTGTTTCTTTTGGTTGGTAGTGGTATATATATATTAGGGCTGTTGACTAATCACAGTTAACTCATGGGATTAACTAAAAAAAATTAATCACGATTAATCACACTGTTAAAACAACAGAATACTGACTGAAATTTATTAAATATTTTTGGATGTTTTTCTACATTTTCAAAGATATTGATTTCTATTACAACACAGAATACAAAGTGTACAATGCTCACTTTATATTATTATTTTTATTACAAATTTGTACTGTAAAAATTATAAGAGAAATAGTATTTTTCAATTCACCTCATTCAAGTACTGTGGTGCAATCTCTTTATTGTGAAAATGTAACATACAAATGTAGATTTTTTTGTTACATAACTGCACTCAAAAAGAAAACAATGTAAAACTTTATAGCCTACAAGTCCACTCAGTCCTACTTCTTGTTCAGCCAATTGTTAAGACAAAAAAGTTTGTTTACATTTACAGGAGACACTGCTGCCTGCTTCTTATTTACAATGTCACCTGAAAGTGAGAACAGGCTTTGCAAGGTATTTATGTGCCAGACATGCTAAACATTCCTATGCCCCTTCATGCTTCAGCCACCATTACAGAAGACATGCTTCCATGCTGATGATGTTTGTTAAAAAAATAATGCATTAATTAGATTTGTGACTGAACTCCTTGGGGGAGAATTGTATGTCTCCTGTTCTATTTTACCCAAATTCTGCCATTTATTTCATGTTATAGCAGTCTTGTATGATGACCCTGAATGTTTGTTTTGAGAACACTTTCACAGCGAATTTGACAAAATGCAAAGACGGTAACAATGTGAGATTTCTAAAAAAAGCTACGGCACTTGACCCAAGGTTTAAGAATCTGAAGTGCCTTCCAAAATCTCAGAGGGACGAGGTATGGAGCATGCTCTCAGAAGTCTTAAAAGAACAATACTCAGATGTAGAAACTACAGAAACCAAACCACCAAAAAAGAAAATCAACCTTCTGCTGGTGGCATCTGACTCAGATGCTGAAAATGAACATGCATTGGTCCACTCTGCTTTGGATCGTTATTAATCAGAACCCGTCATCAGCATGGACACATGTCCTCTGGAATGGTGGTTGAAGCATGAAGGGGCATTTGAATCTTTAGCGCATCTGGCATGTAAATAACTTGCGACACCGGCTATAACAGTGCCATGCTCTCACTTTCAGGTGACATTGTAAACAAGAAGCAGGCAGCATTATCTCCTGCAAATGTAACCAAACTTGTTTGTCTGAACGATTGACTGAAGTAGGACTGAATGGACTTGTAGGCTCTAAAGTTTTACATTGTTTGATTTTTGAATGCAGTTATTTTTTGTACATAATTCTACATTTGTAAATTCAACTTTCATGATAAAGAGATTGCACTATAGTACTTGTATTAGGTGAATTGAAAAATTCTTTTGTTTTTTAAAGTGCAAATATATGTAATAAATTACATATAAAGTGAGCACTGTACACTTTGTATTCTGTGTTGTAACTGAAATCAATATATTTGAAAATGTAAGAAACATCAAAAATATTTAAATAAATCATATTGTATTGTTGTTTAACAGTGCAATTAATCATGATTAATTTTTTTAATCACTTGACAGCCTGTGTGTGTGTGTGTGAATGTGTGTGTGTGTGAGTGACAGAGAGAGAAAGATGGTGGGCACAGAAGCTACCAAAACTGAAGAGTGGTGAACCTCCTTGATCTATAAATAGAGTTAAAGTGAAAAACTGGCATGTTCCTATGTATTTTCCCCCAGATATATAATTAATACATAGGAACATGCCAGTTTTTCACTTTAACTCTGTTCAGAGATCAAGGAGGTTCAACACTCTTCGGTTTTGGTAGTTTCTGTGCCCACTGTCTCAATCTCTCTCTCTCTCTCTCTCTCTCTCTCACACCCACACACACCCTTTCTTCCTTCTATTGTGTGTTGGGCTACTCAGCTCCCAGACCACACTGCAGCCTCTTTTGCACTCACTGACACCCACAAGTCCACTTTCTTTCTTTTTCAGACAAGCAGCTTCCTTCACCTCATGTTGATGTGTTGGGACGTGTAGCTGCTTCTCCACACTCAGCTTACCAGTAGAGCCGCAGCTCGGATAGTATTAGCATGCCAGACATGAATCTGGGTTCCCACCAACTGTGGCTCATTGAGCCTGTTTGCTCCTCAACTACTTCTTGTCCTTCCCCTTCCCTAGTGTGCCAGATCCTTCCTTTACTTTTCCTTCTAGCTGCCGCTAATTTTCTCCCCTTCTCATTCAACTCCTTTAAAAATTCCCATTCAACTCCTGCCAGGTGGAAGGGTCCCAGAGCTCGGACTGTAGCCCAAGCCTGAACGTCTATGCCACAATTAAACAGCCCTGGAGCCTGAGCTCTGGGAGCCTGAGTCAGCCGGCACTGGCCAGCCATGGGTGTCCCTGCTTTTTTGAGAGTTTTGGCTCATTGTAAAAACACAATACTGTCTCTAGTGGCTGACGTATGCCGTTGTTATGCATTTTCTTTTCTCCATTGTTACTACTGAATCTTGAGACATATTCTAACCTCCAATGCAAGACATGTATAAGTGCGTAACTGAAAAAATACAGCTGCTTTTTAATAGATGCATTTTGTGTTTTGAAATGCTTTAAACACCACCACCAGTCAGCAATTGTGGACCTTTGTGAAGTTGTAATACAAAGCTGCCTGCACGGCAGGGGGAAGCACCGGTTTATGCTCATAGCTTAGAGAAAAGGTAAATGAAGTTCAACAGAAGTCAATCAATTCCTTACCAGGCTCTTGGTTGTGGTTTTGGTGAAATTTTCCATCCAGCTGGTTGCATCAATTTTTATTCCAACAACTATAACAAACAAACAAAAAACTCAGAAAATTCTATTTAGCAAAATGAAAGGAAACAACAACAAAAGGCAAGATCCTAAAACAGATGAAAAATTCACCATAAAAGTCTAACTTCTGAAGCTGATAAACTAAAAGAAATAATGTTTCTGACCAGTCATCTGTCCTCCAAGGCCCTTCATCACTCTAATCAATCAAATATCTATACTAACACACTGTTAGATCTTTGGCTAGATTTTCACCAGCAAAATTTTAAAAAGCCTTGTGAAGAAAAATTGTAGAAGACTGAGACTGCTTTGTGATTTCAGTTAGTTTTCTTATGTAGGTTTGTGATGGGCAACAACAAAAGAACTTGTGTATTTAGAGTACTAGCACCATTCCATCTTACCTGCGGGTTTAAGAAGTTTTCCACCAATGGTTATTTCCACAGCCTTGCTCACCATAATGCCTGTTTCATAGCTACTGGCTTCACTTTCTGAGAGTAAGGGAAAAAACAAAAGGTTAAAAAGAGTGATGTGATCTTTTCCTATTCCTGGCCCTAAATAAAGAAGTCCTACCCCTCAACTCAAGTTCAATCAAGAAATTAACCATTATTTAACTGGCAACCATCATCCCCAAACCAAAATCTCTATATGAAAATGTTGTACTTACTAATTGTACTTAATAGTTACCCCCAGCTATGCCTACAATCATGAACAATCAGAACAGTTTGAGGAAAATATATTTTGCTCTTCTTTATTTACTTTGTACATTTGACAGCTGTGTATTTCAGTCAGTTTCACTGTTCTGTGTAGTTAGTGAGACCCTGATTCTGCAAACACAGCCGTGAGCAGCCCCGTGAAATGCAGAATAGGGGCCATAGATTGTATGGTCATTAAATAGAGCCCATGCAGTCTTCTAGTCACTGGACAGTGCGCAGCCCACTAATAACACTCAGTAAATAATGACTGGTACTGTGACAGGCTAACCTGCAGGCAGCACTGTTTAATATGGAAAATGAAGTAAAAAAAAAAAACGTCCTGAGAGCTTTCAAAGGAACAGGATTCCTAAAAGGTTTTGAAGCAAGCCATTTTACTACCTGGCTAGTATTTTTTGAAAATTGCAATAATAAATATGTATATGAAATAATTGCAATAAAATACCCCCTCTAAGAGGGAAGAGTATCTCATTCACAGCAGCATCTGCTTTCAGAGGAGCATTACAAGGTTAATGTGTCTCAGTGATGGACCTCTTCTCATCAACCAGTTTATTATTGTGGATATTTAGGTTTTAAATATTACAAAAGGTCACAGAAACCATTTCAGCAGAATAATATTGATCTGTAAAATAATTCAAACTCAAAGGTTTGAAATGTTAAATAAATCAATGGCACAATCTGGGCTCCATGCAGAAGAAAAGCTCGCAGGACCACACAGTTCTGTGATTGCACTTATCCAAGCTCATTTTGGAAAAAATAAATAGTGTGGTGTTAAAGCAGTCATGAAACTTCAGGCCTTTCTTGCCACTTTGCACCTCCCTTTGGGCCTGTTTCCCCATGGATGGCTAGAGCCGACATTGATGTGATCTAGGGAACTCAGCTATATAAGATTGCTCTTGGATCCCCTCTCCGATGTCAATATATGGAACTGAGGCTCTTGCAGACAGTATGATACACAGTCACTGTATCAGAGGGGTAGCCGTGTTAGTCTGAATCTGTCAACAGAGGGTCCTGTGGCACCTTTAAGACTAACAGAAGTATTGGGAGCATAAGCTTTCGTGGGTAAGATTCAGACTAACACGGCTACCCCTCTGATACTTGACACCATGCAAGGCACTGCATTTAGCCGTATGGAATGGAAATCTATCCTCTGGAGATTTCCATTACTTGCATCTGAAGAAGTGAGGTTCTTACCCACGAAAGCTTATGCTCCCAATACTTCTGTTAGTCTTAAAGGTGCCACAGGACCCTCTGTTGACAGTCACTGTAGTTTCCTTCACACAAGAAACTCTGCATTTGAGAAGTCTACAGAAACCTTTCAAGCCCAATTAATTAATAAAATATATAACCAACATGCATTTTAGCCTGTTAGTTATTGGGAGAAACAATGCAGAGCACATAGCTTTACTGGGATGGATGGATGATTGTGATGACATTTTCCAAACCTGAGTGACATTTTTTTAGAGCTGCTTCCCCAATGAACCGGCAGACTCTCTTGGAATGTCTGTTCTGAACTATGCCACTTTAAATAGCGAACTCAACTGGTAAGAAGGAAAACATCCACGAATGTTTATATTGTGCCAGTCTCCTCTGGAATTTCAAAGTAGTGATGACTTACTGTTGTAGTATGGAGCTGTGAAGATATAGTTGTCATTATCCAAGCTCCGTTTATAGAAACTGACTTCGTAAGTTTCAGGATTTTCTGTCCAATCATCTCCTGCCCTATACATGGGGGGGAAAAGGTCATAAAAAAGAAAGTCTGTCAGATTTTCATTTTAAGCTGCAAGGCAGAGGTTTTTTCCCCCTTAATATAAATGTCTTGATTGGGAAACTCATGAGCTCCTTTTATTACAATGTATGTGTGCCTATCCTTCACAAAAGTCTGAGCTTTCAGCAACTTAAATTACAAACTGCAATGAGAAAAACAAAACCAAACAGACCATAGAATGGAGAAAGGGTTCCTGAGAACAGCATGGACCAGGTTCAGAATTTTTATACGGACATTTTTCTGTTTTTAAATCTATCACTGGGTTTATTTAAAACATAAAACCATAGAGTTATTTTGCATGATATCCTTTATTCAAAATCACACAAGCAGTTAACAGACAATTAATAAGAGAGGGAGAGAGAAACTGAGAACTACAGGCATGGGAGGCAAATCCATTGGGGAAATATACTCCATGATATTTTTAATGGGTAAAATATACAAGATAATCCCAGGAAAAAGATAAATTTGCCATATAAATTCATATTAATATAACCCCCCACACTCCCTAAATAACTGAAGATAAGAATTGCATGATATGGTATGAAATTTTATCACTTTCATGTGTCCTCTATATTCTCTGTTAATGTTACATCATTCCCCTTTACATCCTGGGAGTACTTGTGATTAGTACTTCAGAGTATTCATGATTTTCAAGCTTGCCAGCCAAATGAATGTTGAGCAATTAAGGGTTAAGTGGCCAGATGGCTTTTAGAAGGACATCACTTTACTGCTATACTGTGCTAAGAAGAAGCTTGGATTACTATGACCTGCTCCGGCTTCACAGTCAGTAGGAATTCAGTAACATTACAGACCAGTTTCAAATGCGACACAGCTAAAATCTGTAGCTCAAAGAAAATCAAGGTACGCATATGAGATTTCACATGTAACAGTGTAGATTATTTCAGCAGGAAAAGTTGCTCTTAGATCAGCTGTCCGTCAGTCAGTGCATTGACATACTGACTAAAAGAAAGATCAGCTGACTTTTTTAAAAAAATTTTATTCACCCAAATTCTAGGCATCCATCGTGGGCCTAAGTATGTGCACGAAAGCATTATGCCCATGTTATTCTCCAGTTCCCACCTGTCTTCTATGGGAGCATATCTCCTTCAGAAACTTTGCTGGGACTTGCTCTTACAAACTCCCTGTGTTCAGGTGGACTATTGCAATCATATGGAGCCCTAATGAATTGGGACTACACATAGGCAAAGAGATCCATTTGTATGGTCAGTTTGTCTGTGCGGCGGTTGGAGGGGGAATCAGAGATTTAGTGAGAAAATAACTCCATAAGGATAACTTAAAGCAATGTCTCATTTACCATGCAGACAGTGTCTATGACATACGATTACCTCACCTAAAATATACAGGAAGGTGCAACTGAAAGACAGCCTACATAGTAGCATTTCTTATTATGTATCGGAAAGGTACAAAATATATCGGAAGAACAGAACAGGTCGTGCTGGTAGGGGAGTGGCACTATATGTGAAAGAAAGTGTAGAATCAAATGAAGCAAAAATCTTAAATGAACCAAACTGGCCATAGAATCTCTATGGATAGTAATTCCATGCTCTAATAAGAAGAATATAGCGACAGGGATATATTACTGACCAGCTGACCAGGATGGTGATAGTGACTGTGAAATGCTCAGGGAGCTTAGAGAGGATATTAAAATACAAAACTCAATAATAATGGGGGATTTCAACTATCCCCATACTGACCGGGTACATGTCATCTCAGGACTGGATGCAAAGATAAAGTTTCTTTGACACCTTAAATGACTGCTTCTTGGAGCAGCTAGTCCTGGAACCCACAAGAGGAGCGGCAATTCTTGATTTAGTCCTAAATGGAGCACAGGATCTGGTCCAAGAGGTACCACTTGGTAATAGTGACCATAATATAATTAAATTTAACATCCCTGTGGTGGGGAAAAGACCACAGCAGCCCAAGACTGTAACGTTTAATTTCAGAAAGGGGAACTACACAAAAATGAGGAGAAAAATAACTTAAAAGGTACAGCGCCAAAAGTGAAATCCCCGCAAGCTGCATGGAAACTTTTTAAAGACACCATAATAGAGGATCAACTTAAATGCATATCCCAAATTAAAAAACATAGTAAGAGAAAGTGCCACTGTGGCTTAACAACAAAGTAAACGAAGCAGTGAGAGGCAAACAGGCATCCTTTAAAAAGTGAAAGTTAAATCCTAGTGAGGAACATAGAAAGGAGCATAAACTCTAGCAAACGAAGTGTAAAAATATAATTAGGAAGGCCAAAAAATTTGAAGAACAGCTAGCCAAAGACTCAAAAAGTAATAGCAAAAAATTGTTAAGTACGCCAGAAGCAGGAAGCCTACTAAAAAACCAGTGGGCCCACTGGACAATTGAGATGCTAAAGGAGCACTCAAGGACGATAAGGTCATTGTGGAGACAATAACTAAATTCTTTGCATAGGTCTTCCCGGCTGAGGATGTGAGGGAGATTCCCAAACCTGAACCATTCTTTTTAGGTGACAAATCTGAGGAACTGTCCCAGACTGAAGTGTCATTAGAGGAGGTTTTGGAGCAAATTGATAAACTAAACAGTAATAAGTCACCAGGACTAAATGGTATTCACCCAAGAGTTCTGAAGGAACTACTGCAGAACTACTAACTGTAGTCAGTAATCTGTCATTTAAATCAGCTTCTGTACCAAATGACTGAGGGATATCTAATGTGACACCAATTTTTAAAAAGGGCTCCACAGGTGATCCCAGCAATTATAGGTTGGTAAGCCTGACTTCAGTACTGGGTAAACTGTTTGAAACTATAGTAAAGAACAAAATTGTCAGACACATAGATGAACATAATTTGTTGGGGAAGAGTCAACATGGTTTTTGTAAGGGAAATCATGCCTCACCAATCTACTAGAATTATTTGAGGGGGATCCAGTGGATATAGTGTACTTAGATTTTCAGAAAGCCTTTGACAAGGTCCTCACCAAAGGCTCTTAAGCAAAGTAAGCTGCCATGGGATAAAAGGGAAGGTCCTCTCATGGATTCATAACTGTTTAAAAGATAGGAAACAAAGGGTAGGAATAAATGGTCAGTTTTCAGAACGGAGAGAGGAAAATAGTGGTGTCCCCCAGAGGTCTGTACTGGGCCCAATTCTATTCAACATATTCATAAATGATCTGGAAAAAGAGGTAAACAGTGAGGTTGCCAAATTTGCAAATAATACAAAACTACTCAAGTTAGTTAAGTCCCAGGCAGACTGTGTGAAGAACTACAAAAGGATCTCTCAAAACTGAGTGACTGGGCAACAAAATGGCAAATGAAATTCAGTGTCAATAAATGCAAAGTAATGCACATTGGAAAACATAATCCCAACTACACATATTCATCCACTCAGTGTGCAGCGGCAATCAAAAAATCGAACAGAATGTTGAGAATCATTAAGAAAGGGATAGATAATAAGACAGAAAATATCATATTGCCTCTATATAAATCCATAGTACACCCACATCTTGAATACTGTGTGCAGATGTGGTCGCCCCATCTCAAAAAAGACATATTGGAATTGGAAAATGATAAGGGATATGGAATGGTTCCATATGAGGAGAGATTAATAAGGGGACTTTTCAGGTTGGAAAAGAGATGACTAAGGGGGGATATGATTGAGGTCTATAAAATCATGACTGATGTGGAGAAAGTAACTAAGGAAGTGTTATTTACTCCTTCTCATAACACAAGAACTAGGAGTCACCAAATGACATTTATAGGCAGCAGGTTTAAAGCAAACAAAAGGAAGTATTGCTTCATACAACGCAGTCAACCTGTGGAACTCTTTGCCAGAGGATGTTGTGAAGGCCAAGACTATAGCGGGGTTCAAAAAAGAACTAGATAAATTCACGGAGGATAGGTCCATCAATGGTTATTCACCAGGATGGGCAAGGATGGTGTCCCTAGCCTCTGTATTCCAGAAGCCGGGAATGAGCGACAGGGAATGGATCACTTGCTGATTACCTGTTCTGTTCATTGCCTCTTGGGCACCTGGCATTGGCCACTGTCGGAAGACAGGATACTGGGCTAGATGGATCTTTGGTCTGACCTAGTATGGCCATTCTTATGTTCTTATATATCCTTGGGGTTACCAAAGAAATTTCAGCTGTATGCATAACATCCATTAATTGGATATTCCATTGATATGGCACACAGGAATTATTTTCGCATTCTGATCTTATTTGAAAATAAAATGACCCTTACCTTTTAGGGAAAACTCTAGTGATTCCACCATCCGTAACCACAAATTGTGCAACAACTCCATTGCTATGACAAAAAGCAGAAGTTTAAATGAAAGCTAATTAGAACTATTACCAACTCCACCTTCATAACAGCTGCCATTTAGGCACAGAATTACGAGAAAAATATACACATTTTCTAATCAAGATGAAATACTGAAATATACATATCACAAATCTAGTTTTATTTTTGACTTTGATATCTAATCACAGATTTGAATTTACCAGGCCTTGGGTCTTGACATTCATAACAAATTTACAAATACCCCAATGACTACAGAGTTAATTAAAAAGACATGAAAATGATATGAAAAGATATGAAAAAAGAACACTCACAGAGATTGCTTACTCCAATAATCCTGGACTAGTTCATTTGTAAATCCTGCATCCAGCAAAACTCTAATGACCATATCAGCATTACCTAGCAAAAGAGACAACATGAATCACCTGAAAACACGACTTTGAGATCTGTAAATCTGTTGAAGATGAAACTCTGAATTTCTTGATTCCTGCTACTTATTAATAAAAAACGACATGATTTTTCAAAATGTTGATTGATGGTGAGAAGAAAATATGCTAATTTAATCAAAACCTTTAAGCTAAAATTTTCAAACTCAAGTGGTTAAAGTTAGGGTTGGTCTCCATTATGGGGAGATCCACACTGCTGCAATCAATGCAGCAGGGATTGATTTAGTGGGTCTAATGAAGACCCGCTAAATCGATGGCAGAGCACTCTCCTGTCAACCCTGGTACTCCAGCTCTACAAGAAGAGTAAGGGAAGTTGACTGGAGAGTATCTCCCATTGACTCAGTGCAGTGAAGACACCGGGATAAATCAACCTCAGAAACGTCGACTCCAGCCACATTATTCATATAGCTGGAGTAGCATAACTTAGGTCGACTTACCTCCATAGTGAAAACAAGCCCTAACATTACCAAATCAGAATACAGAAGACAACTTTTTTAAACTTGTCTTTTTAAAATTGGGCGCCTAAATCTATGTTTAGGCAGTTTACTGGACGTGGCCCAAATTTCAGAGGTCTGAGTGCTCACAGCTTCCATTGAACACCCAGAACTCTCACTGAGTGCAACACCTTTGAAAATCAGGTGCCTAAATATTGTGGTATTAAGTTTGAATAGTTAGAGCCACTATTCAGGGTGGCCACTGGGTGAACTTAGTAAGGAGGTAAGACTCTATGTAAACAAGAAAATCCTGCATTCACTCTGACCAATGACCAGTGTCCTGGATCTCTGTAAGCTCCACATATATAGCTTTAGGTGGCTTGGGCTAACTTTACCTTTGCCTACATTACATTCTATAAAGCCATCCAGGTACCAGATTAATTATCCAGTCATTTAATGTGGAAAGAACCCAATTTTGTATCAAAGATGGAAGTTAACATACTCTGAAGAGCACATTTTCATTCAAATAGCTGACATCTCATCCTTCTCAGAACATGCAATTAAGCAATTTCATTTGTTTTATCTCTTCTATGTAGGAAACTACTGCAGTACCTTTCCCAGACCCAAAGAAGAGCTCTCTGTAGCTTGAAAGCTTGACTCTCTCAGTAGGGTGACCAGACGTCCCGATTTTATCGGGACAGTCCCGATTTTAGGGGACTTGTCCCGCGTCCCGACCTTACATCGGTCGGGACGCACTTTGTCCCGATATCGGGGGGACCGCGGCAAGCCGGCACTGCTCACGTCTTCTTCCGGGCCCTGGGGCAGTGCAGTTGAGTTTCTGCTGGGCTGGCCGGCAGACGCCTGCAGAGTGCTGCAGCCCCACTCCCCAGGCACGCACAAAGGCAGGGGCGGGGCTTGTAGGCACCAGCAACGAGCCCCCCCGCCCCTCAACCTGACCCATGCCGGAGCT